AGCTTCTATTTATTTCAAAGTGACAGAATCATAGAAATACTGTTTTACATGAATTTTAATTCATTTCTGAACATTTTTCTTCGATTTTTCACATTTCACTTTCATAAATCCTGCCTCAAAATATATAATTTTTATATTATAAGCTTCTAAAAATTTCAATTAATTTCTGAAATGCTTCTGAGCAATTCTGAAAATGTGTCCACGATTTTTCACATTTTATTTTCATAATTCCTGTTTCGAAATACATCATTCCAAGACTGCGGTAAACGATTACGACTCGCTTCCTGGGACGTTGTTATATCATAACAAAGCTTGTAAATCTATCACAGGAAACCGACTGCATTTCTACCCAGTTTCCGCGGTCATGTTTTATTCAACAATGGTTTCGTCGCCAAAGTGTCTGTTGACGTTTCAGCGTTGACAATCAGTTTCATGGTCCCGTGACCTTGGGAAGATTTTACCTCTAGTTCGCTAGAAGTTAAACCGTTCAAAGATCGATAAGTCGAAATTGATAGGCGTTTCAGCCTCCGGACCAGCTCGAAGGTTTTATTCGACTCGCTGAATTTGGATTTAAACATTATTTCCAACACACGCCCTTACGAATATGTTTCGCGATAGTAATAATTATATTATGCAGTTTATTACTCTAATGACAGTAATGAAGTTAAAATTCTTGTTGAGGAGAATAATAATAACCGAAGATGTATAATAGAATGAAATCGTTATACAAGGCTGTTCATTAATTTCGTATGGAAGAATTTGACCATTTTTAATCCTGACCTCATGTAAGGACACATAGGATTTCTCAAACTACCCCTAAACATTGTTAAATAAAATCTTGAACTATGGAAATAAACTAATCACTCGCTGTGACAAGTAAAATTTTTTTATTGATATAATATTATATTATAATATTTTTTATTATCTCGTCACACTTCTAATTCAAATAAATTAATTAAAATCAAAGAATCTTGAGTGATTCAAAAATTAATTGACAGCCCATAAACTACTACAAAAAAATATATATATTACCATATATCATATTAATTAAATTTTATATTGATAAAATATTTTATATTACCAATGACTTTTACGTAATTAATAAACAACTCATTGCAAACACAGTGTTACCTCGAATTCGTTTAACAATTAATCACGTATGACATGACAAAAATGAATTGTATTCTAAAAAACGGTTCACCGGCTCAATTAATTTAAGAAGCAGTCGATTAATAACATTCATCATTTCATTCATTCGACCAAAGTAAATCCCTAATGGAGACGTTTCGACGCGACGTTTCATAATGAAGGCATGCTAACAAAAAGCGCGTCGTTTAAGCGACGCTGGCGAGAAATCCAATTCAGGTTTCGGTTTTTGTACGATGCAGAACCCAGCGGTCCTTCAACGAAACAAATAAAAGAAGCAGAAGTCTCAATTAACGGGTAACGCGGTAAATTGATTCTATTTTTTTTTTACAGTCCACGCGCCAACTTGTTTCACCGCGAAACGCGAACGAACTTCTAATTAGTTTACCACTAATTAAACCATCGCAGACGGTATATGGAGTATTAGACCACGAATTTCGTTTTTCGAAGTGTTTTGTTGGTGGTATGTTTTGGAAAAAATTATGTTTCGTATAGTATTTTTCGTATTGTATGTATTTTGAAAAATAGGAATTATAGAAAGTTTAATGTTATTATATTTTATTTAATTTTTAGTCAGTGTAGATGGCGTCTGGATATACGTAAATTTAGTATGAATTTAGACATTGAAATGGATATTTTGGACGTTGATTAGAAATTAGTTTGACAAAATTATATTTCACATATTATGAAAATTTTGTATGCAAAATGAATTCTTTCCACGTGTGTTAGATGGCATCTGAATGTATATATATGTTAGCATGAAATTAGACTTTGAAATGGACAAAATTATATTTCACGTATGAATATTGTATATTGAAAATGAATTGACGTGTGTATTAGTACGTGAATGTGTTCTACACACTATGTTTCTTCGATGAATTTAATTTCAAATAAAAATTATTTAGAACCTTGTAATTTGGATCTTCAAAATATGAAGATTGATGTACTTTTTATGTAAGTTTGAAAAAATGTTTTTCTTTTCAAACGTTTTTATTCTTTATAGCTATAGACATTAATTAATACTTAGGTAATTTCACGTAAGGTTCACTTATTCAACTTTCCCCTTTAATACTAACCTATCGTCATTTATTTCTATCTATTTCTAACGTGATCAATTAAATAACTGGTCTTAACCTCTTCATATCCTTGGCCACATACGTGAACCTTTAGTTCTTTCATAATTACAATAATAAGAAATCAATAATAAAAAGAACAAAAATTCGATAATTACTAATTCACTACAGAATCTCTCAACAAAAGGAGTAAAAATTGTATAGTTTTGCTGCACTGATAATGTTATTTCCGATGTACAATTAGAGATACAAGGAAAGTGTGAAGAAAAATCCTCCCTGAAGAGGTTAAAGACACTTTTCCAATTGCACTTAAAAATATTTCCCACGATTTCGATAATACACGAAACAATGATATATAAATTTATATTGTATATAAAAATTGTGCCCAAAAAAATATAAAACGGCTGTTCAACCTCTCGTGATATGTTTAGTGTTAATTTCACTAAAACTACCTACATATATATAGCACCTTCCCAAAAATCCACAACGAAACACACAATTTTTCGAAACCGATATCTCCCCTGATCCCTGAAATAAGCTACCCAAAGAAAAACTCGAGACAAAGAAAGAGATCTATCCCAGCGGAAAACACGAGGAATCTAGATCAACCAGCAACCTCGAAGCATCGTCTCGCGAGGATCTATGGAAGACAGGTCAGCGGTGTCGCGACGATCCTGCGAGGACCAGGGACTTCTCGTAGAAGGATCACCGGCTCGTAAAACCGAGCAGGGCGACTTGCACGCGTCTCGAGAGGGGAAACACTCACCTTCAGTTAGAAGTTTGCCTCTTCGGTCGTCGTCGCTGTTCCCTCGACGCCTTGGTGCTGTTCCATCCTTGCCCCTAGCGGTTTACACGTTTCGCACTATCAACGTGGGACACGATGCTTCGATGGGTCCTATCACGAGGTATATCGCTGCGAAGTCGTTCACGTGGTTCTAAATGCCGTCATTGTCTCTCGACACGACGCGACACAAGTTCCTTTCGAAATTCAAGAGTTGTTGGCAGTTCTTCCGTTTTGATTTTTATTTAATATCTCAGATCATCATAAAGTTAACACAGTGGCGAGTTGTTTCGTGAGTTGGGCGCTCTTGCAGTAGTTTTCTTTGTCAATGGTTCCCTAGAATTGATAACGTGTTTACGGACTGTTACTCAATTTGGCAGTTTTTATTCTGGCCTTCCAGGAGCGTTAGTCCTCAGATTTTCCCAATTTGCTTTCGTATCTGACGCTCCTTCGCCGCTATTTTCCTCCAAGTATCCTCAAACTCGGTTCAACGCGAGTGAATTTAAACCTGGCAGTCTTGGACCACTTTTTACTTCTAACGTTTTTCCGCGATAGTTTAACTGAACTCACGACGAATTCATTGAAAACTTGGCACTGTTCTCGATGTGTCCCGGAATCGTTGAACGCGACGGTATTTAGAACAATTTCATTTGGAAATTAAAAAACGTCCTGGTTGGCTCCTGGCAGTATTTCACGATAAAGAAACGAACTTTTCTTTGCTACGCATTTTTCTCTAAATTCTTCCAAATTACCCTGGAATCGTTAAACTTACGTGGACAGTTCCTTTGACACTCGGCTCAACGTATCAATTCCGAACACTGCTCCCGAAGAATCTTCCCCTTGAATCGACATTCCAAGACGGTTAAACTTGACTTAACGTTGGCATAACTTCGGCGCGGTTAACGGAGCGCTGAAGTTTCGGTGCCTGAAGTTTCTAGTTGAAGTAAAACCGCGGAGATCGTCGATTAACGGTAATTTCGCCGAGAACTGATGGAATCCGAGATCCTCTTCGATCGATTCACGTTATCCTCGATGACACGTGCCGCGTTCGGCCAAACAGTCGTTTGGAAAAGTTCGAAATGGAGGATGAGTTCGGGGAAGTTGGATCCGAACTTGCTTCTCAAAGGTGTTTCGAAGATCGTGGAAGGACCCTTCGGCAGGATCGAGGACTCGATGATCGAGGATATGGTACGAACGCGATCTACGGGGAGGATTCGAGCTAGGGTCCAACCGATTGTAGCAGCGCGCGTCTACTGAAGGAACTTGTGGAGCGAGGGCGCCGGCTTGGACCGCTTCAACCCCTCTTCCCAGCATCCCACGCGTCGCGCATTCTCTTATCAGATCGTGCTCAGGGTGAAGCGCGGCTCTTTCGCGCTGGATCCTACGAGAAAATCCTACGAGAATGTCCAAATCCACGAGGATCCTTCAAGGACGATCCTTCAAGATCCTTCAAGGCTGGTAAGAGGATGACCAGTCGAAGGTGTTCCTTTTTTATTTACCTTTGAGTGAATTTTTTAATGGATTTGGTTTCTTTTAGTAATAATAATAATACTTTATTTACGAGCAATCTGCCTTTGGTATCAAGTATAATGTAATAACAATGACAACAAGAAAAACAAAACAAAAATGGAGACGATCACAGTATCTTACAATATAACGTGATCAAACAAGGTTGCGCATCCGCAAAATTGCAACGACTGAACTTTTAAATGCCAAAGGTGAGCCATGAAAAAGATCAACAGACATATTAAGGCTGTCAGCCATCGCACACATTCTTGTAACACAATTTTGTTTTGCAATTGAGGTACGATACGGATCAGTGTAAAAAATATCGCTGCTTCGAAGTTGCCTACTTGGAATATTAAATTTCAATAGTTCCAGTATCCTGGGACATTCAGTTTTTCTATTGACAATTTTAAAAATTCAGTTCAAAATATGCCAATATCTGTTGTGTTATTAGTAGACTGCGGATCTTTATGCATTTATAGGAAATTTGAATGCGCAAGAACTTACAAAATGCAAAGAATATCCAAGAATATAAAAAAGATTGAAGGGAAAGTTTATGTTATAATATTTGCTGAATAAAATAAATTCCTATTTAGGTTCAATTTTTGTAGGCTCGTTCGCGAATATTTCATTTTGCATAAAGATCCGCAGTCTAATTATTAGGAACGATATACAAGCTTTCCAATTCTGAGATTATACGGGTTTAAGAATTCCATCTCGCACAGAATGTAAGAACATTACAAATAGGAAAATTTTATAATGCAAGAAAACTAATGCAAGAAAATTAATATCGCGAATGGATACTTATTCTGAACCGTAATTGTTATTAATGTTTAATCGAACACTGAATGATACTGTATGCATCACAAATGTTCGCTTATGTCGGAGACATTAATTTAAATTAACAATTAATTATAAAATATAGAAAAATACCTCACGATTACTTATTTAAATTTTATTCTCAACTTTTCGTGTTCGGAAATATTACTTTCTCGAAAAACATTGGTATAATAATCTAAAACTTTAAAGTCCATTAAACATATACATCTCTGAATTAATTGAATATTTACAATGCATATAGTAAAATTTATTCTTCGATTAAATATTAATAAGAATCAGGATTCTTACACTAATTTTAGGGTACGCTAAATACATCTAGAATCCTGCGTAATAATTCTATTAATAATAATATTCACTCTGATATTTTCTCTAAATCACTACGTAGGGAAAATAAACTAAGTACAATTATTAACACAGACTTCGTAATTTGACAATAATTTAAAAAAATACGAAAGCGAAGGAATTATTATAAATATGTCGAGAATCCTGCATAATAATCCTATTAATACATTATTTATTATGTACCTACTCTTATATAATCGTCATTCCTGCACCAACTATATAAATTTAAATATTGCCAAATAAAATGAATCAGTTTTTCCTACCGCAAAAAGAATACTCACTCGTTCAATTACTTTTTTGCCAACTTGACTCTCGCGTAGACCAGACAGGAAATGCAGAAAGGAACGTCGAGAATGTTCGAAAGCCGGATCTTCGATTTTAACGGTCCAGCGATGCGATTCCTCATTAGGATGAGAGATCCCACGTTAGGAAACAGCTCGATCGCGTTCGTGAGCCGCATTTCCCAACACGTTGGCTCATCAAACGTCGTGGATGTTTGTCGGAAAAATTTCATTTCCGCGAGGCCCCTCGGCAAGCGAAATAAAAGAGTGCCGCTTTCAATGAAATTCGGGGATTTAATTTCACAGAAATAGGTCACAACGATACAGGGAAGGGGGGATCATCGGAAAAATAAATATTTATTTTCCGATGAAACATAAATTTTATTAAATTTTATTTAAAAAGTACACATCTATAGACAGAGTCTCGCGAAATAGTTTCGCTGATTTCCGGCCGTTTTGCTCGATAAATTCCTGCGATGTTATTAAATACATGGTGGCAGAATAACCGCCAGGTAGAACAGTGTACACGTGAAACGTGCCAAGCTGTTTCCAATTACATACTACTGACTCGTAGTACACGGTTAAAGATTCCTAGTAATTAGGTTAATTTCGACGCAACTTTATATTTCGCTGCCGCCATATACGATGCGTTAATAGCGTCACGTAATCCGCTGCCGAATTAATTAGTGCTGCCATTGTAACTTGAGTATTACGATAATTTTATGAATGCGAAACTACCTGTATTTGTAATTTTGTACCAGATATGGACAGTTCAGGCAATTGTTTAAAAAAATTAATAGTCTGGGTTAGTGTGCTCCGAAATAAATTGTAGAAAAATATCTAGAATTTTAATAATTAAAGTGTCATTACTTATTTTGATAAAAATTTACATTGTAACTATATTATTGATGGTATTGGTACTCGTGGATAAGAGCTGACCAACTTTTACAATGTAAACAAAAAATTTGAGTTGGTCTTATATTTATAAATACTGTAAAGTGTTATAAGCGAAGAAATTGTTATAAATATATCTAGAATCCTGCATGATAAGTCTAGTAATAATATTATTTACTTTGATATTTTCTCCAAATCCCTGCGTAGAAAAAAATAAATTAAACACAATAATTAACACAGACTTCGTAACTTGAAATTTACAATAATTTCGACAAATACACAACTACCTGTACAACTGGGGTTCAAGTAATCGCAAAAGGTCCGTGCTTCGCTAACGAGAACGCCACACCCCCTCCTCCCTCCCCCCGGAAGAAGTTACCTCGTTAGATTCGTGTGTGGAGAATTTATTAAAGGAAAAGAGCCTTTCATCAGAACGTGGAAAATTGTTCCAAACTAATGGCCCGCAAGGAGAGGCGAGAAAGCTTCCTCATAGTGAAATTTATAACCGAGAATCGGTCCTGAACGAGATCCCTCGCGACAATCTCTGCAATTAGAAGGACGTTTGACTGAATTATTTTAATTGGACACCCCCGCGGCGGGACACCGACTACATCAATTTTAATCGCGTACAATTAATATTATTTCTTCGCGCAACTGTTTTCGTCTGTGCAAACGGATAACTTAAATTTGTATAAAATTATAGATGGAATAATTGACGAGAATCGTATGAGAGTAATTAATGATTTGAATTTATGTTAATATTGTTGTGAAAATTTTATGCGAGAGATTCGTAATATTGTTATTATCTAAATTTAATTTGGAATGTGTGCAAAAATTTATTAAGAGGTGAGAAATTTGAAAATAATAAATTAGCATATGTGTTAGTTCTATTATAATTATATTGCATATTGACCAGAGACAATTTATTGTGATGCACTATCTTTGTTAATTAATAATATATTATAATATTCAAGCACTCAACTTCAACTTCAATTTTGCATGAAACACATAAGTGGAAAATGATTTTTGTAAATAATACCTCTCTCACTGATTTTATTCAATAATTAGAAATTACAAAATTCAATATTTGAAGATGTATTAACAAAGCCTTTTACTTTATTATCAATATAATATTGAATCGAATAAAAGCACAATCCCAAGGTGCCTGTAACAACATACTTTCTGCCTTCAAACCGTGGAATAAGGAATTCCAGTCGGTTCCAGAAATTAAATTCCAGCTCGCCACCATATTTTTTTAGTTCTTATCTCTAGCATTACATTCCTCTGGCGTTACTGTTTTTAACGTTGTATTAAGCTTTGTGTTACGTTTTATCCCCGTAACATTTGTTGTCGCTTTCTACTATTTTTCGTTGGATAAAAAAGTTGTACGCGACTCACGCGGGGGCATGCTCGCGCCGGAAAACAGGGAAATATCTCTTCCGCTCTTATGGCTTTCAGCAAGTCAAACAACGAAAAAGCAGAGTGAAGTTTGGAAACATTTCCGAAGATCGAACGATGCGTCATCCATATGTCACGTGCACAAAAGTGTCACAGAATAATAACGAAAGAATTCAAATCAATTTCAATTGATCACTCCTAGTTTCATAATTCCAGCGTAAATTTAATTTTTATTTATTAATTTTAATTAATAACATAGACTAAAACACTGCACAATATATGTATAATAAATTACACAATATAGAATGCACATTAAATTGTTAATTATACAATATCGAATGTATAATGAAATATACACTGCATATTGTATAATAAATTAGACATTATACAATGCACATTAAATCGTTAGTTATACATTATCGAATGTATAATGAAATACACTTCACAATGT